GCGGTTTTTCGTTTCTCGTGTTTTTCTCTCTTTGTGATTTTGTTTTCATACGAGTTGAGATAAGTGCTCGTATTATTTGCAATTTTGTTCTCCTTTAGACAATTTTATAATAATATTTTGTTACAACACTAAAAACACCAAAGCGAGTCCGTCAGCCAGCCAGCTATTCATCCATCCAAGCAGCCAGCCATCAACAACAATAAAACATGTACTTAAAAGCTACGTTCTCTTCATGTAGTATATCCGTTACTTAACTTCCTGTCATAACTTTTGTTATAACACTCCAGCATAGTCGGTTGGTTGGTCGGCCTCGCCGTCCGTCTGTCCGTCCTTCCATTTATCTGTTTGCTACCCCTCCCACCATCCTTCTGTTGCCAGGCTGTTGCCACTCACTTATTCGGTCTTTGGGTCTTTTGTGCGTCGAAAATACATTGTTTTTGTATTTTTGCGAAAATACTTTATAAGAATTCTTCTACTGTTGCGGTCGGTGTTGAATCTAGGGCGGGGTGTAGACTATGCAGTCGGTTTGAGCTTCTTTTCTTGAAAAAGTTTCGTTTTTTGTTTATACGTATGTATGTCTCCTTGACATTTTTTGTTGCCTACTCCGCTTAGAGATGAAGAACAAAGTTATTTTGTTCTTGTGGCTGTTGTTGTTGTTGTATCTTAAACTGAGTTGAAACTTCCTACCACAAAGTGCATTATTACAATGAACAGTGATGCAAATGACTTGTGAGGTAGGAAGCAACATTTTTTTGGAAAAAATTAATTCTCCTTGAAGTGGGCATGTAGGTCCAGTTTTTCATTTTTAATCGCGTATGCTGGTCCAGGTCTTCGTATAGCACCCATATATGGTTACCTCCCTATATTTCGTATTTTGACGATGTTAGGTACAATATTCACCGGAATTGTTTAAAAGTTCGTATTTGAAATTCCTAATGAGTACTACAGCCTATGACAGAAAATGAAATTGTCTATGAAGGTAGAATTCTTCGTATAGCCCGCATGTAACCGTACCTCTCTATATTCGGTATTTAAATGAATTTTTCATATATAATTTGAATGGCCTATTGCAAAAATTGCCCATGCAAGTCCTTGACTTCGGATGGACCCTAATAATATTTTAAGACAATTTTTAAAGGATATTATTTTTTTTGCAAATTTCGAAATTCGTTCCAAATGGTGGATATGTTCAAAGTTCGGCCGGATGTGGATGTATTTATAGTTCGGCCCGGTTGAACTTACTGCTTTTTTTTAATTGTTTGAAAATAAATTTTAAAACGTATTCCTCACATAACTCTATTCAAGAATGCTGGATCAAAAGTATATAATTCCGAAAGACTTCTAGTAATGAACGGTGGACTTTAAATTTTTTTTATTAAAGACATCATTTAAAAACATCTAGCCAAGAATTCTGGAATTCAACAAACTGTCGTCAAAGCTTCCATCCTCGAATCGCGCATTTAAAAAAAGAATCACATCCAAAGACAAAATGGTTCTCAACTTCAAGAATTATGGATTTTTTGAAGTTCCTAAATGACAACAAAAATCCATTCTTAAGGATATTCCTCAACGATTTAAAGACAATACTTCGTACTCAATACTCCATGCCAAGAATCCTGAATTTTCAAATATACAGGGTTGTTTAAAAAATCTGCAACAAAGTCAAACGCCATAATTTTTACATTTCTTTTTCTAATTTTATTGAATAAAAGCAAAAAATGTCGGAAATAGCATCAAATTTTAGAATAAGTTTAGATTTGTTCGAATTGGACACCTTTGGCACGAATTGTGGCCTTCAAACCAATGAAACCATCACACGCTGCCCGAATGTTGCTCTACATTATTTTGGCCCATTCCCGGCGAAGCACTTGCTTGAGGTGATCGACATTTTGGTATTTTTTAGCGCCAGCCTTGCTTTCCGAAATACTCCAGACACGGTAGTCCAACGGATTGGTATCCGGAGATTTTGGTGGCCATTGTGCGCTGGAAATGAAGCGAGGAACCTCATTCCATTCTTGGGTGTTGCGTGCTGAGTGCGATGGTGCTGATTCCTGTTGGAATGACCAAGGTCTGCGGTCAAAATGTTTGCGTGCCCAAGGCTTTAATTCACTCTCCAGAATATTTTCGCGAGAATATTCGGCATTTATTCTGATGCCACTGTCGATTAATACGAGCGGAGAGCGACCATCGGCTGTTATGATGGCCCACACCATCACCATGGCCGGCGCTTTAGTTCTGGTGAACAAGCGAAGGTGCACATTTTAAGCTGATCTCTTTGGCAAGTAAACACGATCATGTTGTTTGTTTACAAACTGCTGGACAACGAATATTTTTACTCTTTAGCTATTTTGAGTCTATTTTCTTTCTGTTGAGGTGTAAGTTCTTGTACTTTGTGGAATTTCCATGGCTTCACCCCGAGCTCATTTTTCAATATTTGCCGAATGGAGTATTGCGATATGTTCAGCTCACGAGCAATTTTTTCTGCCACTGGGGTGCGGGTTTCGATGAAGTCGCTTCCTTACTTTTTGAACCATTTCTGTTGATGTTGCTGTTTTCTTCCGTCCACTTCCTTAACGTCGGGCTACGCTACCAGTATCACGGTAACAAGCGATGATACGATACACACAGAAATTAATCACATTTAAATGCTGGAATGCTCTAACGATGGCCACTTGTGGTTTTCAGCGAAATATAAAGAAGTCACGCTATCACGCTTGAATTCGATCACGAATAACTTTTTTTCTGGAAAATTCTCATCAAAATGATTTTTTACGTTTGTAAACAATATAATGAACTGTCACTGGAATAATTTTAACAGATGTCAGACTAGTTGCTTAGAAATGACAGCAATCTGAAGTTGTTTGAAGCAGTTTTCATCTCACCCTATTTCATAAAATTAACAAGAATTATAATCCGGCTACTTAGCAAAAGCGACAATCGGACATTTTACCTGGACACCAATAATTTGACATTTTTAGTTTTGTATATATTATCCAATATAGATCCTCTATTTGTCATACATCCACCCCATTCAGTGTACCTCCTGGTTGCATACCCAATATGAAAAAAACCGTCAAGTTCTCTCGTAGGAAATATTACCCATTGCGAACTCCAAATTTTAAATAACTCCGACGAAAAGTAGCTTAAAGCATCAGAATACCGAATATAGGGTGGTACCGTTATAGGAGGGGTTATTCGAAGACGTGGAGCTATCATCAATATATCGGGAGTACAGTTATATTAGGATTGTACCTTAAATATAGGTAGACAGTTCATAACAAAAATATTTTCTACATATGGGGACCACACGCTGCAATTTTACAGCAAATTCTGTAAAAAAGTATCGGTCGGTTTTGCTGACAGATGTATATCCTCAGCCAATGTTCGAATATTTAAAAATATTTTGACTTCTTAATTTTAATTTTGAGCCTTTGTGGAGGAGGTACCAGAAGGAAGGGACCGATATATCCCATCTTCACAACGGATCTTTAGTTAGTGGAAATAATGGCATGTGTGAAATATAAAGAGAACCTGACCTTAACAGATACTGTGTTGATAGAAATATTCAGATGTGCCAAGTCTAAATGGAATCCGATCTTAATTTCGTGTTTTATGAGCTTAATGGATATTCAAAATTTTGACTTTAGTGGTGGGGGGGGGGGTATACTAAAAGGATAGGACCGATGTATTCCATCTTAACACCAGATCTTTGATTTATGAAAATATTGGGATGTGTGAAATTTTAAGATAATCGGATTCTTACATAACCTTTTATAAGACTTTTAATTATTCAAAATTTTTACCCTTTGTGGGGAGGTACTTGATGGAGTGGACCGATATTATCCATTTTTCAACCTGACCTAGAACTGACGCAAATATAAGGATTTGCAAGGTTGGAGCAAACCTGGATTATCATTTCTCTTTCTGTGACAAAAATATTACAAGTTTGGACCAAATCGGATACTCCCTTCGAGAGTTATCATGCGTACCAGCTAGCCAGACAGACAGACGGACGGACATCGCTAGATCGACTCCAAATATTCTGAAACGGATTTGGTCCAAAGAGACGTAGGGTCAAAAACCATTATTTCGACTAGGCACGTTTTGATATGATATTATATGATAAATGATATATACCCTCTGTAGCCATATGGCTGGGGGTATAAATGTGAAAATATGTAGATCAGACCTACAAAATGTGGTATTTTGAAGGTCTGGTTAAATATTTGATATGAGTTGACGACAAATCTGTAATACCCTACTTCACAGGTATTGACAAATGTACAATTCACGCTTCTGCGGATTTTTAGGGATTCGTCGAGCAAATCGGCCATGAATCGAGTATTCACATTGTTTAGAGATATATGGTTTTTGTTTATAAGCGATTTCTCTTGTACGTCATTCCCTTCAGAGCTCTTCAATGCGGCTTTACATTCGGCTGTATTTTATCAGTTATCATGGTTCTCTAATTCCTGCTGGATCCATATTTGTGAAAGGTTTACAATAATTATATGACCCACGTTAATAAATTGCCCCAATAATTACTGTAATTCCAATAATTAAAAAAAAAAAAAATAAAAAAGGCAACAAGAAATTCTCAAGCCCACAAGAGTTATTTTCAAAGTCTACAAATTCCTGTGTTTTCTAAGAAGAAAAAAAACCTACAAGTAAATAACTTCAGCTGCAATTAATGTCTTACATTATAAGAACACAATAAGAAACAACAACAAAAATAGAAAAAAAAACAAAATTTGTCGGAATCCCATTCATCATTTACTGCATGAAATTATATCCGTTCGGTGTTTTGTTTGTTTGTTTGTCTGTGCCCTGCTTCTATTTTAACAGAACATTTAACTTGGTTTATAAACTATGTAAATAAATGCAAACACTGGGGAAAAACTGTGTTACTTACACACATAAACACTTGTGCACACATATTTACATACTTATCTCGATTTAGTTTTCTCATTTTTCGTTTTTTTTTTCTTTTCATTTTTTAGGTCTGTTTGCCGTTTTTTTGTTATTCCGAATGTATTTGCCTTCTTTAACATCTAAAATATCAAAGTAAGGCAAGTCGGGCAAAGGAAATATTTGATGTCACAGACACACTCACACGGCAGATAAATGTATACGACTTCAAGCGGATTTTAAATTGAAAACGTGCTTGGGTTTTGAAAATACCAAAGTCCAAACAAGGGATTCTCCCAAAACGAGCGATAGTGGCAACAACAAAAACATTTTTTTGAGATAACCACGATGACAGTTAAATTGGCAAAATTATTTGGTAATTCTTCAACGAATAACTCCAACTCATCGCAACACCAGCAGCAACCGCCACCCTTGCCACCCCCAAACCCCCCAACGAACACATACAACTATTACAACCAGCAACTGCCTCAATTGCAGGCCAAGACACAGAAACCCTACAATCCCTATATGATGGACGATGAGGATGATAATATGTCTCTATATTCGACAACAGCCTCGATTATGACATCACGAGATCATCCGTTCAACAATTCACAGAGGCCCCTGTTGGCCGACAGGAAACCACAAGTGGTAGTCAAGCAAAGCGGCAACAATGGCAATAAGAAGAAACAACTAAACAGTAACCAGAAACATCACCAACAACAACAACAACAGCACCAGTACGGAGAACAGCAACAACAACAGAAATCCTATATCTCTCCATATGTGCAACAACAGAAACGTGATAGTGCCAAAGGTTTACATGGCTTCAATGATTTCGACATACTCTCCCAGCAGTACAATCAGCATTTGCAGTCCTCGCCGCACATTGGTTATCCTTATGGTAGTCCGCCATCGCCCACACAAACCTCCTGTGACTTTGTGTTTGATACATCAGCAACAATGGCAACAACAACATCAATTCAGAATCATCCTGCCTCAATGACCCGGGGCGGCGATAGTAGTAGCATGGAACGGCACAAACATCACAATCAGCCTACTCATCTCCAGCAACAACCATTTGCCAGCATTTCTACGGCTCTAACATCGACGCCACGCTATGGCAACATTAGCAATTACGGTTCTACCTCTGGAGTAGCAGCAGCACCACCACCACCGACAAATAACTATTACAATGCGGCAACGTCAGCAGCATTATCACGTGGCGGCAACAGTGGCTCGCCGTACTACGACATTAATGAAGCCGATTATTATGGCAAATCTTTACGTTTCGAAGATGATTTCTGTAATCGCCGCAATATTGACTTCGCCAAGTGTCACACCTTGGATACACCGTCGACCGCCAATAGCAGTCATTTGCATGAGGGTCCTTTTATCTTCGGCATCGCACCGGAGCATCAGACCGATTTTACACGGATGCCGGCAGGTGGCCGGTCATTTGGTGATATTTCCGAGGATTCGGGTATTACCAAAGATGATGACAAATACTCAACAAAAGGCAGGGTAAGTGCGATGTGAAATGTTATTCTATCCGTTTTGCGAATTTTATTTTTGTCGGTCACGTTGCGAAAATATTTAAACGGAATTTTTGTATTTTTTTGAGAATTGTAAGGATTTTTGTTTTGTCTACTCGGCAGCTACATGGAGATCCATGAATTGTAGAATTTCTACATAGAGTAGGAAATAATAAATAAGGATGTGGGGCAACTTGATTACCTGTAATCCTAGGCTCACTGGGTAGATTCTAAGAGAATCATGTTTTACTTTATGCGTCGTAGGTATAAAAGGGTTAATTTTTAAGAGCTACAGGAAATTTTTTCAAGAAAAAAAAAAGAAAAAACATAAAATTAAGAAAAGTTCGTGAAATATTTACTTGACGGTACCTTGAATGGTTCATCCGCTTAGTAAAATATTGGTATATTTTTTCAACATTTCGGTAGGTGTCTCACGAATAATTGATTATACTCCAATGTGTCAATTGTAGCCGGCTCATGAGCTTTAATATAGCCTCACAAAAAATGTCAAAATTCGTTAAATCTAACGATCTAGGAGGCCAATTGACTTGTCTCGAACGTGAAAAAGGATTTACCTTTGCTGTGTGGCGTGTGCCACTATCCTCTTGGAACAAAATAACAAGTAAGTCAAGCTGTTGTATTTTGGAAAAAAATAAGTTGGGTGTCATCTCGCGCTCACCATTCACAGTCAAGTTGTCATTCAGTTTGTAACTCCTCGAAATACTCATGTCGGACCTTACAAAGTATATATATTTTTGATCAGCGTAACCACCCACTTTGAAGAAGTACGGCGTAGTAAAGCCACCAGCGTATAAACCGCACCAAACTGTGATTTTTTGGTCCGAGACGTTCCGTTGGGCAGTTTTTATACCCTGACCATTCTACGGAGGGTACATTAACTTTGTCATTCCATTTGTAACTTCTCGAAATACTCATGTCAGACCCAACAAAGTATATACATATTTTTTTATCAGCGTAGCATTCTAAGGTGATTTAGCGATGTCCTTCCGTCTGTCCGTTGTAATTATATTATCTTTCGAGCGAATTGAGATGAAAGGCTAACCTTTTGTACACATGTGTATTTTGCCTGTGGGCAGGTTAAGTTCGTAAATGAGCCTTGTCCGCCCAGGTTTTCTTATATTCCCCATATAACGATACCTCCAGATATTCGGTATTTGGATGATTATTAAACGGAATTGTTTCAAATTTCGTATTTGAAACGGATACTGCAGTCTATGACAGAAAATTGCCTATACAGGTCCAGGTGTTCGTGTAGTCTCCATATAAGGTACCTCCCTACATTCAGTATTTTGATGATTTTAAAGATATTATCAACCGGAATTGTTTAAAATTTCGTGTTTGCACTTCGTAATAGGTACTACAGTCTGTGACGGACAAAAGTCTATGCACGTCCAGGTATTCGTAGAGCCTCCTTGTAACGGCGCCTCTCTATATTCGGTATTTTTCTGATATTTAACAGTATATTTCCAGATATATTTTTTCATTTCCAAATTCCCTCCAAATGTTGAAGGATATTCTAAGTTCAGACCGATGAGGATCGACATATCATATATTTTGATGGAGGTAGTTTACATTTTTCCCCCTTATGTAATTATTAAAAGAGTGGTTCGTTCTAGTCATTCTTCGTATAAGATCTAAAGTTAGTAGAGATATTGAGATTCCTGGAACTTAAAGACAGTGCGACCCTTAAGTCATATTTGACAAGAGTTATGATTATTCAAGATTTTAACTATTTTGGGGTAAGTACTAAAAGGAGTTTAAGGTATTGTCCATTGCAAGCTTGACCAAGCTCTGATAAAAAATATTAGTATTTGCCAAGTTTGATTAAAATCGGATGATTTCTTCTTTTCCGGTGAGGTAAAGTTTTATCTCTGAAAATGTTGACCTTTTGTGGGGGAGGTACCAGAAGGAGTGAACCGATATATTCCAACTTCATACCAGACCTTGGGTTAATAAAAGTATTGTGATGTGTATAATTTGAAGATAATCGGACTTTTACATAACATTTTATAAGAGTTATGATTATTCAAAATGTTGACCCTTTGTGGGGAAGATACTTGATAGAGTGAATCGATATTGTCCATTTTCGCACCTGACCTAGGACTGATGCCAATATTAAGATTTCCAAAGTTGGAGCAAAATCGGATTATCCTTTCTCTTTCTGTGCATTAAAATATCTTCTTTTGAAAATTTTGGACCTTTTGTGGGGGAGTTACAAGAAGAAGTGGACCGATATTCCTCATCCTCCGAACTCGATTAAAGTTTGATAATAATATTACGATGTTCCAAGTTTGAACAAAATGGGTTACTCCTTTCGAGAGCTATCGTATGCGCCAGCCCGCCAGGCCGATGGTGGACATCGCTAGATCGGCTTCAAATGTCCTGAAACAGATTTGGTCTAAAAAGACCTAGTGTCTATAACCATTATTTCGATGAGACACATTTTGGCCATATCAAATGATATATACCCTCTCTAGCTATATGGCTGAGGGCATAATTAAACAGGTGATAATAGCTTTAGATATTGTTAAACTGTCACATTAATATATCATCCGATATGATATTAATGTCAACCAAAGCCTTAATAACAATGATATTCGGTACATTGAAAATTAGAGGGAGATAAATAAGAGATATATCTAAATATGAACCCATCTCGAATTAGGAGGATAAGGTATTTCTAGGATATATCTATTCTCATGTTCTAGAAATACTTTAATATAGTTATGTAGGATATAAAAAGTCGGACCCACCCAACTTGTATCCTTTCTTTAATGGTTAGCAATAGCGTAGTGTGGTAGCCAATGCCGGTGGCTATCACTTTAAATAAGTCTGGAATTTATTTTCATAACCTCACAAGAAAGTTCAATAAATTTAAATTAGTTGACCTGATGCAATATTTTCCAACTTTTTAAGGTTCCGACGTTAATGTTGCATCATATTTTTTTATAAACAAAAATAAATTTCCGCATTACAAATTTGTCCAAATAACGTTTTTTATTGGCTGGCTGGATTCTTAATTTGCTCTTTGACATATTGTTTGAGATTTGTTATTCTCGTTTTTTTTTCCATGGAATATACAATTTTGCCTACAAATAATTTAAAAAGAATTCTGTCGAAAACAAGAGGCAAAGAAAAACTTTTTTATAAGTTTCTATGTAAATAAACAGCTTAAGCCCACCTATAAAACTGAAAAGAAAAAATTCCCACTCCAAATATTAGAAAGTCAAATTACACTTAAAGCGAGACAGAAATCTCGGCGACAGATTTGAGGTGAAGATTGATAAGAGGTAGCTGGTGCGAAACAAAACACTCATAAAAAGTTTATAGCCAAATAAGGTAACAAAATTTATGATTTTTAAATTGTGAACCAAATAAGGTAAAACGAGTAAAAAGGCAGTGAATTCGGCCGGGCCGATATTTGAATACCCTCCACCATTTGGAAAGATTTTGGCAATTTTCCAAAAAACAAAAAAAAAAAAAAAAAAAAATTAAATCCGTAAAAAAATCTGTTAAACTATTAAAAATATCGAATGTAGCCGTTATATTAGGGTCTATACGACGACGTGGACCTGCATAGGCAACTTTTGTCGTAAACCATTATAATATTCAAATGCGAAACTTAAATAAAAAATTCGGTGAAAATGTAGTCAAAATCATCAAAATTCCGGATATAGGGAGGTACCGTTATATTGGGGCTGTACGACGACCTGGACCTGCACAGACAATTTTCTGTCTTAGGCTGTAGTTTTCATTACGAACTTCAAACACCAAATTTGAAAGAATTCCGGTGAATAATGTCGCTAAAATCATTAAAATATCGAACATCGGGGGTACCGTTATATGGGCCTTCACAGACAATTTTCTGTCATAGGCTGTAGCATCTGTAACGAACTTGAAACACCAAATTTGAAACATTTCCGGTGATTAATGTCGTTTAAATCATTAAAGTACCGAAAATCGGAAGGTACCATTATATGGGGGCTATATGAAGACGTGAACCTGCACAAACAATTTTCTGTCATAGGCTGTAGCATCTGTTACGAACTTCAAATAACAAATTTAAAACATTTCCGGTGATTAATGTCGTTTAAATCAGCAAAATACCAAAAAAAGGGAGGTACTCTTTTATGGGGGCTATACCGAAACCTGGAGCTCCATCACCCATTTTCAATACCCAAAGTCCTGCAGACATAATACATATTTGAGTAAAATTTTATTAACCTACTTCATTTGTTCGGAAGCTAGAGTGATTTCCACAGACGGACTGACGCATAGAGGGACAGAGGGACGGACATCGCTAAATCGACATAGAATTTTATGCTGATCAAGAATATATATACTTTGTGGGGTCTAAAATGTATATTTCGAGGTTTTATAGGCGGAGTGACAAACTATACCCTCCATACTATGGTGGAGGGTAAAAAAATACAAAAGCTCTAAAAATCCGTACTTTCACCTGTTAATAAAATTTGAATTTATAGGTCAAATAATTTCATTCTCCACAAAAAATCATTCATTTTAAAAAACTTTTCGCTCCATAGAAAGGGAGTACAAAAAAGCTGCCTCGTGAATAGAGCTTCTTGACTGGCACAAGGACAACAGTGTTTGAAATTGCCCCCCCAAGAATAAAGAGGTGTATTTGAAAATAATGCGGTTCCAAACACTTCATTAGCGTAATTTGTAAACTAACACCATTCTCTGCTTAATATTCCTTTTTCGCGTTTATTTTTTTCTCCATGGTTTTTACAAAACTGCTTTGCAGGGCTTTTGTTTGTGCTTTTCACAGTTTTAGTTTGGTGTTTTTCTTCTTTTTATTTTCTTTGTTGCTTTGCCGCATTGACAGAAAGCTAGAAAAACGTTGCTGCTACGACCTGAAGTCATAGCGCCGGCAATAGAGCCAGCTAAAAAATAGAACTATGTAGAGAAAATCATGCTAATAACCTCATTTAATTAATTCTAGTTCAA